ATCATTAGATCTGTACATGGGGAAATATCTCAAAACTTGGCATAACGTAAGGAAGTCTGGTAAAGAAAGGATTGTTGCACTATCCATTTGAGCGCCCCTTCATTTTAATAAGCTTTCAGAAAAAAAGGTGACTGTTTTGAACTGGTTAATGATTAACTTGCTGCGAATGTAGCCAGAAGGTTACAATGCCTCAGTAGCTGAACTTCCAAAAGAACAGAACCTGCTGTGTGTTGTATGCAAATGAGTGTGTTGCGGTACAATTAATGAGTACACCGATGAAGTGTAATCTCCACAGATCAGAGAGCTCAAATTGAATTCTATTCTATCTCTTCTCCTGAGAGAGAAGTTTCTCTGTGCCACATGCCAGAACTACTAACATCGATTTTCACTGTGAGGGCTGCGGTAAATGGAATAGCAGTGAAATGGTTGCATTTATATAACTCCTTCACACATCATCAAAAAGTGTCCCTGGTTTTAAGTGATAAATTATTTTTGGAGAGAAGACACTGCATTCAAGGCAAATGCTGACTGAGAATTACCCATCTTTGTAGTTAGTTCAAAGAAACGTGAGTTATACTAATGTCTCATTGTGGGTCCCTTCTTTCTGTTCACAGTGTGGATCCCTTCTTTCTGTTCAAAGTACAAAGGAGATTGATTTTAGAACTGCACAATCCTTTCCACTGGTTTAAACTGTGCTTGGGCCAAACCCAGGTTTAGAATTGTTAGATTAATTTTCATCAGTAGTGGGGGTTTGCTGTCCTTATAATTTTTTGCTGTTGGTTGAATTTTTTGTGTCCATAACAGCTCATTGGTTGTAACGGGACGTGAGATGCCCCGTTGTTATGACGGGTACAATGTAAATGCACAAGTTTCCCTTCTTCTTTTTCCAGTTTATTCATAGAGAATACAATTCAGATAGCTGTCTGTTAGATGGAAACGGCCAGTTTTGGCATGTAATTTTCATGGGCTGCACTATAGCCTGAAATCTAAAGCCCTGCATCCAGCTGGTGCAGCTATTAATAACAGTCTAATCTTTACTTTGTAAAGGTGTTTTTGTCAACCTTAAGGAAATAACTCCGTGAAGGCTGGTATCCTGTCACCAAGTCGCCCTTTATTTACACGTACATAGTATATGACACAGAACCAGCTTGCACAGGGCTGGCTTCTAGAGTGTATAGAACCCCTGACACTCCTGTTTATATCTGTCAGCCAGGACTCCCTGATTGGACCAGGTTAACAGCCCCAGTCAGGCAATTCATACTCTATGAGGTCCATCTGACTGACCTCATTACACTCACTACACTTAAAAGGTGTTTTTCTTTCAGCAAAGGGAAACAGACTGTGCTGGAAGCAACTAGTTAACTAGATAAATTCATCCATGCATGTTTTTTCTAGGATTCTCTAGATCTCTTTATGAAGTTGGTTAGCTCGATTGACTGGCTTGTGATGCAGATTGACACCAACTGTGTGGGTTCAATTCCTGCTCTGGCTGAGGTTACCATGAAGGACTCTCCTTCTCAACCTCTCCCCTTAGCAGAGGCATGGTGACCCTCAGGTTAAACCATCACCAGTTGTCTCTCCAATGCAAGAGTAGTCCAGTAGGACAATGGCAACGTTATCTTTCCAATACCATTGCGTTTAGAAGAGATCTATTGGTTATTTAAGGAGAAGGAGCCGTGGTTAAATCTTAGAAATTTCTTTAAAGTGATTGCCAAAGATCAAGGCTGCTTTTCTCTTCTCTTCGATTCCTCTGTTCTCAATCGTTTTACGATCTTCAGCTTCACACTGTACAGCTTTGGTTGAATATGAAGAGGTTTGGTTACCTGTCTAGAGCATAGAACATAGAACATAGAACAGTACCCACGATGTTGTGCCGACCTATTATCCTACTAAGATCAATCTACCCTGCATACTCTACATTTTACTATCCTCCATGTGCCTATCCAAGAGTCGCTTAAAAGTCTCTAAAGTATCTGACTCCACTACCACTGCCGGCAGCGCATTCCACATGCTCGCCCCTCTCTGTGTGAAGAATTTCAATTAGGTTTCCAGTCACTTTTGGACTCAGCTTTCCTGTGGACTTCAAGATCTCACTGGAGTAGACAGGGGTCCCAAGCTCACACCTGGTGGGAACTATATTCCTGAAGGTGGTCTCCAAATTGACCATTTTCACACCCCCTTGTAGAGCAGCCCTGAGTACTCTGAGAGTATTACTTAAGGAGGAACATACCTGCCTTAATTCATGGAAGATTCACCGGGTTGTCTTGTGAGGAAAGACTGAGAAGGTACGGCCTATAATCTTTACAGTTTAGAAGAGGGAAAGTTGATCTTATTGAGATAAATCAAGGGGCTTGACAGGGTAGAATCCAGGAGGATGTTTCTCTCCTGGGGAACCTGGAGCTAGGGGCCACAGTTTCCGAATGTGAGGGCTCCCATTTGAGACAGAGGTGTGGGATTGCTGCTCTCAGAGAATGATTAGTTTTTGTAATTATCTTCCACAGACCGCAGTGGAGGCTGCGACATTGAACGTATTCGAGACTGAGCTAGGCAGAGTTTTGATTGAGAAGACAGTTGAAGGTTGTAGGTAAAAAGGTAGGAAAGTGAGATTGATGCCAAAATCAGAGCAGTGATGATCTCGCTGATTGGTGGAACAGGCTCAGTGGCTGGATGGCCTACTCTCGCTGCTATTTCTTGCATTCTCTTTTTCTCATTAAGGACAATGGATGGCTTCTCATGCAGATGTAGTGTCTTAGCAGCACCATCCTACCCGTGGGAGAGGTGGGAGTTGCTGAGGAAGGTGTGAGCACTGCTTAAAAAATGAAGAAAGAATGTAACAAATAGGAGCATGAATAGCCCATTCGGCCCCTTCCCTGCCATTTTATAAAATAATGGCTGATCTGCCACAGGCCTGAACTCCTCTTTTTTGTCAACTCCTCATAGCCCTCAACTTTTCAATGATCCAATACTCTATCTACCTCTTCCTTCAGTGATCTAGCCTCCCCAACTCTCTGGGATAGAAAATTTCAGACATTCACTACATTCTGTGTGAAGAAATTCCTTTACATCTCAGTTTTAAATGAGTGTCCCCTTATTCAGTAACTACATCCCCTAGCTCGAGAGTCCCCCCATGAGTGGAAACATCATTTCCACAGAGTCTGTCAAAGCCCTTCAGTATCTTGTATGTTTATGAAGGCACATTCAGAGAATTAAAAAGATTAAATAGCTCAGAGAGGGCAGGGATTGTGGGGCAAGGTGGGGGACCCTGTGGAATGGAGGGAGATAATTTCCAGAAGTCATGAGAAAGGCCTTTCCTTTCTGCAGCCCTGTCATTGGTACATGAAGATTCCAATGGGCACAGGCCTGCCCCCATTGTTGAGCTGGCAAACATTCATGCCTACCAGGGGTTGGAGAGGGTGTTTGTAGGTGAGAGATGGGGCAGGGGCACGGCAAATAGAGGGGTGCTGTGCTAGTGAGCCCAAAAGGTTATCCCTAACTGTTACAGATAAGCATTTGGGAACTTCTGCCAGAGCATGACTGAGGTTAGGAACTCAACAATGGGGAACCAGGGAGATAGTCTGCATCACAGACCCTGGCAACAGCATGGTCCCCACTGCGTCTGTGTCAAACAGAGCTCCAATGTTTGCCACCCGTTCCTTTTTATCAACTTAGTGAAGACATTCTGACAAGTTAGCTCTTTAACATTATGAAAGGTTTTGCTCGAGTGGATACAGAGAGTATGGCTCCTATTCTGGGAAACAGGATTGCTGGAGGCTGTTGGAGCCACTGAGAAATCCAATAGGGAATCCAGAAGGAAAGTCATCACCCAAAGAGTTGTGTGAACTACCTCGGGGCGTGATTGAAACAAACAGTACATGTGCATTTCGGGGAATCCAGGCAACTATATGAGAGTTGAGGGAAGGGAAGGTATGATGATAGATTTAGATGAGAAAAGATGGGAGCAGGCTCCATGTGAAGCATAAACACCAGAATGGACTGGTTGGGCCAAATGGCCTGTTTCTGTGTCATCGTATAAATGTAATTCCAGGGTCTAACTGTCTGAATGTATTCAGACATCCAAACCACATCATTCCCCTCAACTTATGACTGCCTGTCCTGGCAGGGGGAGTACACTACGGCATTTATTGTCATTAACAGTGAAATACCAAAAACTAGTTCCTTGAAATTTGTGTCAACTGGTTGGATCAATGAAGAACAAATGAGGGATATTTTTAAAACTGAAATGAAGATATTTTTTTCTTCATTTTAAAGGGTAGTGAACTTATGGAACTCTCTGCCCAGAAGGCTGAGCAGGTCAAATCACTGAATATATTAGAGAAAGAGACAGATTAACTTTTAGATTTGAAAGGTATCAAGGGGTACAGGGAGAAAGCAAGACTATAACATTGAGATAGAGGATCAGCCATGATCATACTTAATGGTGGAGCAGGCTCGAAAAGTCAAATGACCTAATCATGCTCCTATTTTCTACGGTTTGATAAACTGAGTGACCAGAAATGTTTGTCCAACATCATATTGCAGGGAACTTATTGGGCTGGATCATTAGGGACAGGAGTCCTCTGTCAGGATCAACACGTTCAATAATTGAAACAGTTTTCAGAGGACCCTACGCTGGGGTTGTCCTTTTCTAAACTGCACTACCGATGGTAAGAAGCTGTTATTGGTCAGAAACCTGTTTGCAAAGACGGTTAACTTGATTGGTTCAGTACGGGAGGTCATAAGTCACCTCCCCCAAAACAGAAGAGGCTCCACTATCAATCCATGCATCTCTGATATCATCCCTGTCATAAATGGTCTTGTCTTTCCACAAGTCTATGATATAGTTTGGATTCACAAAAGGAGAGAAACATTTTGAACCATTTTCCATGTTGGCTGGGCAGTAAGTCTCCTGGGCTCTTTCATCTATGATTTGATCTTGAGTGTCGTCCATGCTGTTGCTGACCGTGTGAAATATCCAGAGTGTGTTCATCTGTTTCCTTTAGGTCCTCGTTTGACGGGTTTGGAATGTGTGGAAGGAATGGCTGCTGGATTATACGAGGAACTGTTTACCATTATTGTCATGCTCATCAACAGGTAAACAGCTGGATACTAATAATCAGAGCAAGGACTTCTTTTCTCTTTCACAAGAAGTAGGCTTCACTGGGAAGGCCAGAACTTGCTGTAAATGCCGTTCAGGTTTTGAATAAGGCCACCTCAGAGGGCAGTGACAACCAGTCAACATGTGACATGTTGTGAATTGCATGTAGGCCAGACTGGGTAAGGATGCCGGATTTCCTTCACTGAAGGAGTGAAGTAAATGGGCTTTTAGACAATTAATGAGAGTTTTGTGTTCACTATTATTGAGACTAACCTTATGTTCCAGCTTTGTAGATGAATTGAATTTAAATTTGAACCCGTGTCTACAGAGCATTCTGAGATAAACGTTCTGAGGAAGGGTCACCGGACCCGAAACGTTAACTCTGTTTTCTCCTCCACAGATGCTGCCAGACCTGCTGAGCTTTTCCAGCAACTTTGTTTTTTGTCTACAGAGCATTGATCTGGCTCTCTAGATTACTTATCCTGTGACACTACCACTAAACTGCTGTCAACTCACAGAACTGGCACAATAATGATGATTTGCAGGCTTTGTGAATATGATCCAGCACTGTATTAATTTAATTAATGACTGCTAATGGTACACTTACACCAAAATTCCTTTACTATCAATGAAATGTGTTCACCTCAGAAGGAGTGCAATTTAAATTCAACAGTGTGCTACCATAACGCTTAATGTCAGAAACCTATGGGACAAAGTCCACAGAGGGACCTATGTGTTGTGAAGTTATACAACTCTTCTTAACTCCTTTTAGATTTTGGGTGTTTCAATCTAAAAATAAGCAGCACGGCTTCAGTTTAAAAATAAATTAGAGATTAACTGTTAAACAATTTCACTGAAAGTTATTAATCTAAATGATAAAGTTATCACAAAAAATAAAGATACAAAGATTAAAAGTAGATATGGATAAAGATATTTATAAAGATGAGAACAATTAGTTCCTTACCTGCTTGAAGGTTTATCTTTCTGAGGTGAAGAAGGTTGAAGTCAAATTCAGCAGTTGTGATGACTTAAGTTGTTGAATAGTTGGAGGTTGCTAGTACAGATAGACTCAATAGGAAGAGTAGATTTTGGGAGAGAGTGTTTTTTGTTCCTCACTAGTTCTGTGGTTATGGCACTTGTAGATTGCTTGTCAGAACTGTGGTTGATTTCCGAAAGCCTTTTTACTTGAGTTTTCTTTGGCTAAGAATTCCTTGTCTTTGAGGACGTTGTCTCTCAGAGTCCTTCCGGAGAGTTCTGTCTTAGAAGTGGTGTCTCGCAGAGTCTTATAGAAATCAAGCATAAAATCGCTGTTATTTTAACTTTTTATGAATGATTGCGACAAGAACAAAGTCAATAATGCTGTAATTTCCTCCAGAAGCCTTTCCAGTCTGCTCTTTTCCTCAGAAGCTTTTTTGAATTGTCACACCTTTAAAAGGGGGCATTATTTTAGTTTAACGGTTAGTTGAATTCTAAATGTCTCATATTGTGGTTGATGTTGAGATAACACACCAGCCTGTTTGCCTTTCTGGTTAAAGTGAATCACCATGGATAGTCATGTGACTCCTGGGAGACATCTTTTCAGACATTGTACTTATTTTATAAGGCCTTCTTCATAACATATGTAACATTACACAGTTGTGACAGTTTGGTTATGAAGAGATGTTAGACTTTTTGTTCACAAACAGAAGTTGCTGGAAAAGCTCAGTAGGTCTGGCAGCATCTGTGAAGAAAAAAATCAGAGTTAACGTTTCGGGTCCAGTGACTTTTCCTCAGAACTTTCTTTCACAGATGCTGCCAGACCTGCTGAGCTTTTCCAGCAACTTGTTTTTGCTCCTGATTTACAGCATCCGCAGTTCTTTCAGTTTTTATTTAGACTTCTTGTTCCTTAACATTGAACATTAAGAGAATATTTGAGTGAGGTTTTTAGATGTTGATAGGAATCAATGGGATAGATGAAGAGAATCTTTTTTCCACTGTTTAGGGAGTCTACTACACATTGGATGATTCAGAGGAGAATTTAGGAAACCATTCTTCATGCAAAGTGTAGGAGTATAGAGCTATCTTGTACAAAAAAAATAGATTTTTACGCACAGCAGGCCAGGCAGCATCAGAGGAGCAGGAAAGCTAACATTTCGGGTCGGGACCCTTCTTCAAAAGGAGGATCCCAACCCGAAACGTCAGCTTTCCTGCTCCTGGCCTGCTGTGTTCCTCCAGCTCCACACCGTGTTATCTCAGACTCCAGCATTGGCAGTTCTTACTATCTCTAGATTTTCAATCAATTATTTATTTAGAAGCTGATGTTGATAGATTTTGCTAGCCGAGGATATAAAAGGATATGGACCCAAAGCTGGTGGATGGAGAGGTAGATCGGTTATGATCTCATAGACGGGCCTGAGGGCTGAATGGCATCCTCCTGTTCAAATGCCCAATTTACCCTTTCTAGAATGTCTGATTGGAAATTTAACTCTAACTTTGCTATTTGGTCACGGGGACAGCAGCATTGTTGACTCTCGTTTCTGCCTCTACTATCCTCAGGTCAGTTTCTTCTCAGCAGTTGTCCCTGACATCTATCATGGTGGTGGACACGCCCGGCTTTCAGAACCCGCGCCACGTAAACAGGGACAGAGCAGCCACATTTGAAGAGCTGTGTCACAATTACGTACACGAGCGACTACAGATGCTTTTCTACGAGCGCACCTTTGTATCTCAGCTGGATAGGTTCAAGGAGGTGAGGTCACGATGGCTACCTGGTTTATTTTGATTCATCCTGAACAACCTTGTAAGATTTGTTGGAAACCTCAGTCCTTACCAAAGACTGCTGTGGGTTGCCATTGACCCTTGGCTTTTGTTGCTCCTGCAACGCCAAAGATACGTGCAACGTAAGTTTGATGTGCAACGTAACTCTGATGTGAAGGTTTCCCAGTGGGGCTGAAAGTGGTAAGGAGCAGGATGTTCTGAGGAATTCTGATCCTAAAAAGGGGATTGCATGCACATACACGCTGGCTGGACAGCTAGTTTATGATGCAGAGCAATGCCAATAGAAACTCAGCTGGACTCACCACATAAACACAGTGGCTACGAGAGCAGGCCAAAGCTAGGAAAACTGCGGCAGATAACTCACCTCCCGACTCCCCAAAGCCTGAACACCATCTACAAGGCACACGTCAGGAGTATGACGGAATACTCCCCACCTGCCTGGATGAGTGCAACTCCAACAATACTCAAGAAGCTTGATACCATCCAGAACAAAGCATTCTGCTTAGTTGACACCACATCCACAAAGTATCCACTCCCTCCACCACTGACGCTCAGTAGCAGCAGTGTGTACTATCTACAAGATGCGCTGCAGAAATTCACCAAAGATCCTCAGAAAGCACCTTCCAAACCCATGACTATTTCCATCTAGAAGGACAAGGGGCAGCAGATACATGGGAACACCATCACCTGCAGGTTCCCCTCCAAGTCACTCACCATCCTGATTTGGAAACATATCGCCGTTCCTTCACTATCGCTGGGTCAGAATCCAGGAATTCCCTCCCTAATAGCATTGTGGGCCAATCCACAGCAGTTGGACTGCAACAATTCAAGAAGGCAGCTCACTACCACCTTCTCAAGGGCAACTACAGATGGACAAGAATTGCTGGCCAGCCAGCGACGCCCACATCCCACAAATGAATAGCAAAAAAAGGGTTCAATTCCCGTACCAGCTGAGGTTATCATGAAGGTCCTGCCTCCTCAACCTCTTCTCTCACCTGAGGTGTGGTGACCCTCAGGTTAAACCATCACCAGTCATTTCTCTCTAATGAGACAGCAGTCCTGTGGTCCACTGGGGCTGTGGCCACTTTACCTTTACAATATCAAAAAAGAAATCCTGTGTCATTATCCCACAATATTGTACATGACTAGAATGGTGGGATAGTGTTTATTTTAGTTTTCATTTCCACTCTACACTTTGGGACATTTTCTAAACATAAAACCTCATCTTCCTTTCTATCAAAGTTATGAAAGACAAGTTTGGAACTAATGCTAGGAAGTTCAGCTTTGTGGGAAAAAATTGATCAGTATTTCAAATGGATTCTGGATAAAGTGGTAAAGGCAAATAACTGGGGAATTATTTTTTAGAAAAAACTTTGGTGTGAGGTGGGAACCTAGAGATTAACTCATCAATTTGCAGATTGATGAGTTAAATGGATTGTCTTGTGAGCTTGTGCCCATCAAACCATTAGTATTTGGGCTGATGAATGGTAAATTGTTATTCAGAAGTATGCTTTATCTTGCATACAGAACATTGTGGTTACTCAACTGGATTATTATTTAAATGCTTTGTAGTAAATGGATTGAATTGATGCCCCTGACATTGACATGGTGAATGGATATGGCAAGGTTAATGTGAGGACAGAGGTCTGAAGCGGAAGAGGAAAATCATCAACATGTGGAGGTCATAAATCAAATTCTGAGGCGCATTAAATTACTGAAGTAGAAAAGGCTGCAGGGAAAAATGGGAACTCAGAAATAGGTCTATAAGAGCAAGTTGGAGTAGAAGGGATAATTAACACAGGTGTAGGCCTATTGAGACAAAAACTGATGAATGCTTGGTAAAATGTAATGGTCACTCATGCTGGTAAATTAAGCGTTGTCAAGAATCTTGAAATTGGTTTTGTATAAGTGTTATTATAGCGTCAAATCGCCAGCCAGCTAAGGTATAAATATGCCTATTTGTAGCTACCTCCATATGTTCATAGATGACTTGCTTACTTGATCCAATCATACAAGTGTCTATCATTTTGGGAATTGTTTTTATTCATTTGCAGAATGTAGTTGTTTGTGCATGAACCAGCATTTATTGCTCATCCCTATTGCCCTTGAGAAGCTGGATGTGAGCTGGCTTCTTCAATCGCGGCAGTCCACATGCTGTAGGTACGATCACAGTGCTACTAGGGAGGGAGTTCATGGATGTTGACAAATGATAGTGAAGGAACAGCAATATAGTTACAAGTCAGGATGGCGTGTGTTTTGGAGAGAGCTTGCAGGTGATGATGGTCCGTGCTTAGAGGTAGGTAGAGGTCTCAGATTTGGAAGGTGTTGTCACAGGAGCCTTGGTGAGTTGCTTCAATGCATCTTGTAGAGGGTACACACTGCTGCTATTGTGCATTGCTGGTGAAGAGAGAGAATGTTGAAGCTGATGATGTGGTGCCTATCAAGTGGGCTGCTTTGCCGGTATGGCGTCAAGCTTCTTGAGTGTTCTTGGAGCTGCACTCATCCAGGTAAATGTTGGGGCAGAATGTCTAAATGAATCACTCGACACTCGGAGTCCACCTCCAGCATCAAAGAAGTTCTTGAAATTAAACCTAGGGGGGTCAGAAGCTTCTTCAAAGAACAAAAGAAAGACATAAACTTTTATACATTTGTTTTCAGCTCACCTTCGGCAATTACGGACCAATCATATTATTAACTAATGACGTACAGACCCAATCCAATTAGTCATGTGACTGTATGGTCAATGATGGGCAGCCTAATGGACTGCCCTCGGTCTTCCATGATCACATGATGTTTCCCAGACACTCTTATCTCTATCCTTGGTGCTACCACAATGCATACTATATTTAACCATATTCCAATACTACTGACTTCTGTACCTGTAATTCAATCCTCCTGCTAGCAGAGTCTGAGCCCTCTCTTACTGTCTAAAGCTATCTTATCCAAAGGATTTTTACAGGAATCTCTTTAACACTAATTATGTCTTTTTAAGCTTTTATATATATATATATATATAATATCTCAAAATCTATAACTAATTCAAAATCTATGATTAGCTGGAAATCTCAAGTAAGGTAAGGTGTGGTGGACCTCAGACCTTTAATCAATAAGGACAGTTTTAAAATTTGATGTGCCATTTATGCATAATAATATGTACAGGTATTAAAAATAAAAAATCTGATTGTTCATGGTTTTATACATTTCCAGAACTGCAAACTGGATACTAAAGATGTTTAAAGCTATGGTTTTGATCTTTTTCAACAGGAAAAGGTTCAGGTGACAATTGACATGACTGAAACCTCTCCAGCATCTACAGTGGCTGTCATCGATCAAACCTCAAACCAAGTAAGCAAAATGGAGGGTTTCCAATAGGATCTTGGAACACTTGGACTGCAATGATTTACAACAACTAGGGGGCTTGGGGAACAAATTGATCCATCTCTGAAATTGGAATCTGTGCAGTAGGTTTGAGGTATCCACATGTCAAGGGTAACCATATACCTTCCAATTCTGCCGACATGGCATTTTATTTGATTGGAGAACCAGTTTAATTGTGGCATTATAACACCTTTCACGTGTACTCAAAAATTAAAAAAACTCAGAATTTAACTGCGGATGTCAAGCAAAGAAAAAATGCTGGCTGACAGATATTAGTTGAGCAGCAAGTGAGAGGTAATTGTTCAAAGGGAAAGGAGGGAGGATTCTCAGAGATGCATGAAGATTGGGAGGTAGGTGACAAGGCAAAGTGATTGAGGGCGGAAATTCCACAGGACAGGAATGTAGCAGAAGTGGGATTAGCTTCTGATAGAAGAGCCGTGGAGCAAGTCAGTGATCAGGATTAAAGAAGTAAAGAGGATAACAGCTCAAGTGGATTGCGGAGATCACACAGACACCCACTGAGGTGCCTGGAGAGAAGCAGCAATTAAAGCAATGACATTTCAAAGGAAAACAAAGGCTGTGAATCACCTACGCTCGGTTCGCACTAAACAACTGCACCTCCCAGTCGCGAACCATTTCAACTCCCCCTCCCATTCCTCAGACGACATGTGCATCCTGGGCCTCCTGCAGTGCCACAACGATGCCACCCGAAGGTTGCAGGAACAGCAACTCATATTCCGCTTGGGAACCCTGCAGCCCAATGGTATCAATGTGGATTTCACAAGCTTCAAAATCTCCCCTCCCACCACCGCATCCCAAAACCAGTCCAGCTCGTCCCTGCCTCCCTAACCTGTTCTTCCTCCCACCTATCCCCTCCTCCCACCTCAAGCCGCACCTCCATCTCCTACCGACCAACCTCATCCTGCCCCCTTGACCTGTCCGTCCTCCCTGGACTGACCTATCCCCTCCCTAACTCCCCACTTACACTCACCTTTACTGGCTCCATCCCCGCCTCTTCGACCTGTTTGTTTCCTCTCCACCTATCCTCTCCTCTATCCATCTTCTATCCACCTCCCACTCTCTCCCTATTTATTTCAGAACCCCCTTCCCCTCCCCCTTTTCTGATGAAGGGTCTAGGCCCGAAACGTCAGCCTTTCTGCTCCTATGATGCTGCTTGGCCTGCCGTGTTTATCCAGCCCTGCACCTTGTTGTCTCGGATTCTCCAGCATCTGCAGTTCCTACTATCTCTGTGAATCCTCTTATGTATTAGAAAATGCCAATGACTTGTAACTGCATTGTCATTGTTTGAGGAGTGAACACTGGCAGATTCAGTCCGTTATGATGACAATATTAATGCCTTTGACAAAAAAGTTCGCACTCAGTTCCTTGTAATGTCATTACCTACCCCAAACAAATATCGAGGTGGTGATAATCGTAAATGACATCATATGAGTTATTTTGGACAGAATGCTGTTTTTAAAAGCAGATACGCCAGCAATAAATGAATGCCTAGCAGTAAAATGGCTGTTTCCTGTCCTCCTAGCTGGGCCAGAAAGATCCCATGACACTGCTTCAAGCAGGATCAGAGGAGATCTGTCTGATGTTCCATCAAAATACTCAACCCTCAGCAAAAATCACTCAAAATGGATTATCTGGTTCAGTTTCTCAATGTTGTTTGTGGGAGCTTCCTGTGTGCAAATCAGCTGCCACATTTACCACATTACAACAGTGACTGTGCCTCAAAAATAATTCATGAATGGTAAAGCCCACTGGAAGATCATGAGGTCATGGAAGGTGCTATACAAATGCAAGGTCTTTCTTTCTCGCACCGAAGTGTTGGTTTCAGCTTAGGCACCATCAACATTAAGAACAGAGGTGGAAGGGGCCTAAAAGTTGTCAGCCATGTAAGATTCCACCTATTTAACCCCATTCCCAACAGGAAGCATTGTTACTGATGCAGTTTTGGGCTCTGGGAAGGGTGTGCAACCTCAGGAAAAGTATAGCAGTTCAGCTCATCAGGACCTTGGCTAAATGTGGGAAATGGAAGCTGATTGGCAATTTGTCTAACGGCCTCCAGTTTCTTAATCCAATGGGTGTGGAGTTGAGGATCAACTGCCTAGAGGTGAACACCCAGCGGTAGGTAGGACTGCCAGTGCTCCAGACTCTCCCCAGGGAGGATGTATTACCAAGGCTGCCCTGTAAAGGAGCTCTGACCCATAACCTCAGTGAGGTGCTGGGCACTTTTTGCATGAATGTTTTGAAGAAGTGGCTGAGAGGCCACCTTTCTATTGAGGTATTGTCCCAGTTACTGACATTGTACTGCAGCTGTGTGCTTCTCTGAAATGGGATGAGTGGCTACCCTTCATTGAACAGAGAACCTGTTTGCTGTGCCAACCCTGTGATAACCTTGATGTTAGCTTGTTTCCCACCAGAGGCAGATTTAAACATTCCACACTCTTATTCTAGGGGAAGGTCTGGCACAAGGTTTGGGGATACCGTTGGGATTGGACAGGTTATGGATCAGCTACCGATTAGGGAATGGAGGAGTTCCGCATTCCTGCAAGTAATGACACCTACAGACTGAACTATAATCGAAAATTTAACAAGACTGGAGTGATAGAAATGAGGTCAGCCAGGTAGACCTCATAGAATAAGAGTTCCCTGATTGCGGCTGTTAATCTGCTCCTATCAGGGAGCCCTGGCTGAGAGATATAAACAGGACTGCTTGAGAGCTTAATGCTTTGTGGTACATCACCACATCATGCATTTTTGTAGTTTAGTTCTGATTGCTTGTGGCTGTGACACTGCAACTGTTTATTACGAGTTTATTCATTCTTCTGTTTCATTGAGGAAAAAGATGAAATAACGTGTTACGTTATAAGATCTGTCAAAGGGTATTTGAAAACATTATGGTACACAATTGTTTCAGGGACATGCAACACAAGGACAATGGTACAAGGACTCAGGTGATTTAAGGTTTCCTTAAAGAGTAGCAAGAATTGGAGCTTCATTTCCTTGCCCTGAATCAGCTGATTTGTTGAACGGCTGAGTTATCAGAGAGTGTACTGACACTGCTACTTCAGCACCGTCCCCTGGAGGATTGTACAGATGCAGGAGCTGAGGTTTCACAGCAGGTGACAGAACAGAGAGCATTCATTAGTCTGCTTCACACACAAGTCCTAGAAGTGAAAGGACAGTGTGCTAACTACCGAGTCCTATGATTAATGGTGTGACAGGCAGCTTCCTGATGACTTAATGGGTGAATGCATCACCCAGCATGGTATTGAGTTAATGAGAGATGCGAATGGCCAGCTTCAATTCTTCATCCACACAGAGTTCATAAATCTCGCTTCGCGCATGTGTGGGAAGGTGAGGAGGCATCCTGGCTTTTAGGTTGGTGTGGGAGAGGGGAAATCAGATGAAGTTTACGCTTCTGATAGCAATAACCACTAATAGAATGTGTGTGTGTGTGTGTGTGTGTGTGTGTGTGTGTGTGTGTGTGTGT